AAGAAGAGCAGCTTCTTTGCCTTTAAAATAATTATTTCTGATTTAATTTAGGAGTACAATCAGAATAATTCCACATCAATAACTGTTTATAATGGCTGCCCTGAAAGCACTGGCTCGTATTTTATTGCACTGGCCCATGATGAGAGAGGCAGAAGCTGATGGTACGGCAGTAGAGGTTGAATCTTTCTGCCAATATTCCATTAAACTGTCTTGCTGAGTGACAGATGGCAGCAAAGGGACAGTTTGACACAATGGTGTCTGACATGGAAATACATATGGAACAAAGGTGTGTCATTGAATTCCTCTGTGAAGAAAAAATTGCACCTATTGACATTCATTGACACCTGCTGGGCATTTCTGGAGGCCAAGCAGTCAATGTTAGCACAGTGAGGTGGTAGATGCTATGTTTCAGCAGTGGTGACAGTGACGTGAAAGACAAAACATGCTCCTAGTAGCCATGCAGATTTTTATGAGCACAGCATGGAGGCTCTTGTTCAGTGCTGATGAAAATGCGTAGCTAATGGTGGTGACTGTATTGAAAAATAGATATGTAGCTGAGAATTGGCTCTATCAAATAATATTATTGTGCTCTTTGTATCGGTTGTAGTTTCCATGGAAATAAATAAGAGGTATTACTTTTGGAGCAAAAGATGTACAATTTAAGTATGTTTTAAATTCTGTGTGTACCTGTGTCATTCTGAGAATTGTTAAAAGGGAACCCGTGTTACAGTGGAGAGGAATACTGACTGCAGTCAAACAGCAACATGTGTAAGAACAAAATGATTCCACAGATGTTTGCACTAGCTGTAATGTCTGATGAGCCTTGCTAGCTTGAGCTTGCATCACAATCTAATAAAAACCTAATAATTCCTTTTCATCTTGCTCACTCAGCCACATATATCAGGCTTTGGAGATGTCAGATCTAAAAGGAGAACTGTTCTTCTGTCTTGGAGATTTTTGATTGCTGAAGAACCATGTATTGCAAGAATCAGTTCCTTATTCAGCAGGAGAATTCAGTTTTAGAAAAATAAAAAAGAAAGAAAAAGAAGCCAGGCAATAAAAAATCACATGTATTATCAGATCTGCCTTGATTTATGCACACAAACTTGAAAGCTTGCTCTGCTGTCTCTTGTAACTTCTTTTAGATTCTGAATGTCCTTGACAGGCAGATAAAAGAACAGATGCGTATCAGAGGTGGGAGATCATCTTGTAGGAGGTCTGAGCTTGAGTTATGCAAAGATAAGGATGCGGAGGTATGAGTGCATGGTGGAGTGCTATGTGGGTAGAGCAATCCCCCAGTGTGCAACTCTTTGTAGGACTGGATATTACATAAGGCTTGTAGATGACTTCCTGTCTGTCCATCTTGTAGCTTGGTGGATATATGAAGATACGAAAAGAGACATTTCACCAAAAACAGGCTGCCCTTCAGTTCTAGATCTCATTCTGTCCATCCAGTTCCCCTTCTGGGCAGTTGTCTTTTCTAAGCCAGCAAGCCAGCAGTTTTCTCTGGTTCCCACATAGTCATCATATACTTGCTAAACCAGTTTCTCTCTGCAAACATCTCTGCTTGCTGGGGGTTACAGATGTCTCTAGCCAGGAGAAGTATACTGAACACTACACTATATTGGTGCAGTTTCAGTCAAAGATTGAAACAACAAATAAACATAAACAACAAAGGAGTGGTAAGGTTTGTTTGTTTGTTTGTATATATATATATTATTTTTGTAATAAGAGAACATTTTCATTGCTAGGTAACTTCAATAACTTGTTTTTGAACGAGATTGCTTAAAAGAACAATTATTCATATTTATGCAGGACAGCAAGCCTCAAAGTTAGTCGGAAATGTTCTTGGAATCTACATTTAACTGGAAGTATTATGGTTTCAGTATCCTCCCTGGCTTTCTGTAAGAAAGTGCAAAATATGATTTCATGTTCTCATTGTATATTTACCTTCTGGTGGGAGGCATTAGATAAGGTTCTTTCAAACTTGACTCATAAGAAGAAGAATAATCTTTATGTTTTTTAATATTTCAGGGAATTTTGTAGTGTAATCTATGAAGGATAGATACGGACATTTCTGGTCAAAAAGTCAAACTGATATAAAAGCTTTGAATCACTTTAAATAGATATCAAAAGCAGAGCCACTCTAAGTTTCCAAGAGTTAGTTAATTGTGGTGAGGAGCTGTATTTGCTGATCTATCTATTTCAAACTAAAACTTTCTCCATCAACACAATATGCCTTAGGTTTAACAAATCCCTCTTAAAACATGTATGGAATGTTTATTGGTGGCGATGTATTGTTTATTCTCTATTAAGTTACTTGCATTAAATTGGGAAAAAAAGTTTCAAACTCTTTTACTGCTCAGATAGTGAAAAATTTACTGCAACTATTATTTCATTTTGCACAAGGACTTATTACTTTAAAATTGGAAGTATCAATTGCTGTTGCTTGTATGATAATAACTTCATATTTCATTGTTTAACAGACATCTTTCAAAAGCAAATTCTAAGAGTTCAGAAACGTAGTTCTGGAACTTCAATATGGAACAGAAAAATTAATCTGGATATTAAAAGGGGGAATATTTTGGGAAAGATGAATGTTATAATAATTTATTGTGCTTCAGGCAGTGTCATGAATCTATTGTGGCACACAGTAAAAGAAAGCACATCAACAATTCTAGAATACATTCCTTTACAAAGACACTCACCTGAATTAATAATTGGACAGTATTCAATAAAGTAGAAAATAAAGCTAACAGAAACAATTTACAAGGAAAAGTCTTTCAACAAGGAAAGACCGTTATATTGCACACCTAAGATCAAAGGATTTTTAATTCCCTTCTCCTTCTAGAAGAAAGCCCCACAATCAGAAAATTCTAAATCACAGATCAGTGAACATACATAAAAATTACACAGAAGGAAAATATTTGTGAAGCACAAAGAACAAACTCTCTAGTGACTATCGAAAGAAACACAGAAATTACTGTTAGGGAAAATTGGGAAACTATTTGATGTTTCCTCTGCTTAGATTATGGACTGGTCATGAAGGTACATAAACATTTCCAGTACAGAAATATTTGCGACGTGGGTGCCTACAGTACCACAGAGAAGAAGGAAGATACGTTTGTATTTGTCCGTTCATTCAGATCTATCACATTAATTTATTTACTTTTTTATACTATAGTTTAACTTTCCATTTTACAATCAGAATACATCTATATTCCTGGAATGCTCTGTGCTGACATCCCTTCTAAGCTCCTTTTAGTCCTCTGTCCTGCTATTGAAAGAAATTTCCTTTGGCAGCTTCCCCTGGTATTGTGTACTGAAGGTATAAAACATATACTTGGCTGTGAATGCAGCTAGTTGAAAAACTGGCTTCTCTTGACAGATCTTTAGTATAAGGGAAAGCAGAAAGGTGGAATAAGGAAAATCTCAAACCACCCCAGACTGTGATTTGAAGTCCAAAGAAACTGATCTCTCCATTTGAAAGATGATATTTTCATGTCCTTAGTTCTTCTAGTATTTAATCCTGGCTTTGCAGTATGAAAACATGGAGCTACATAACTTAACTAATAAATCCTTTTTTTTCCAAATTCTATCAAAAAAAAAAACAAAAAAAAAACCAAAAAAACAAAAAAACTGTGGTTAATGGATACGCTTCCTACAACAATGGACAAAACCTAAACTGACTCTTGACTCCTAAACCCTTTCTGTAACAGAAGTGGTAGTAAGTAAGCTGGAAAAATATGTCTCTCTTAAGAAAGCCAGATGAGAAACAGACACAAATGGAGTAAAATTTAAAGATCTACGTGTTTAACAAAAGCACAGTGAAGCTAAGGGAGAGTAAGTTTAACAATGGACAGAGTGATTAAAGTAATAAGGAAAGTAATAAATGGTCTGACCCAGACAGTGGTCTTTATTAACTGTTCAGCCCCTCCTGCTTTCTCCTTTTATCTGTTTCCCATTTCATGCTCCTAATCAGGTTCAAATGAGGTGTATCTGCTCCATCTTTGCAAGCTTGACCTACTTTAGAAGGATTAACAGCACCATGACATTTCTACTTCATTTTAGGAACACTGGATTCTGTTTTAGAAATGAAAGCAACTCTACCTTTCTTCTGAGCAGCCTTTATCCAAACTTTAAATATCCTCTGTGCTACATGTGGCTAGTAATCATCTATAAACCTATACTACCTGGTACTAAAGAGGTCCCTAGATGTACTCCTAGGAGTTTTGCTTTTTTCTTCCTGACATCTGTCTCTCCTGGTCCTTTCACTAGTTCCTACACATCTATTTGGAGCCACTTCATGTAGACTTGTTTTGCCATCTTTTTCATCCACATTCTCTTTGAAGGCAAACATTCAAGACCTGGTACAACACAATAAAATATTCCTTGGTCCTTCATTCCACACATCAGTTCTTTGCCACATAAATTTACCTAATTTGGCTCCAGCAAGTGAATCTTTTCACCGTGTATAAAACTACTTTTGGTTTTGGTCAATCATTTATTCCTTTTCTTTCTTTGTTTCCTCCACTTTCCTTTTTCCATCTCTACCTTTCCCTTCCCTTTCCTTTCTTCCTTCCTTCCTTTTTCTCCTTCTCTTCCCCTTCCTTTTTCTCAGAGAATCTATAAAAATGAGTGTATTTCTCTTAGACTTCCCTAGTTCTTACTGAGCAGCAACGTAAATTCCCTTCTTAGTACCTGTTCACAAAAGAGCTAAGTACATCTCTTCTCAAATAGTTTCCACTGTTGTATTTTTTTCTCTTTACTGCATAATTCAGGTCCAAATATTTCCAGGTCTAAATATTGCTAAAATGCCACATTCAATATTCAATCTACTTATTTAAGTAGGAAGGGCACTGATAAATTATAAAGTTTTCTTTTACAAACCACAAAAACAGCTAAATGATTAGGGGGAAAAAAGTAGAATATAGAGAGAGTTCAGCCTCTGTGCATTGCGTAGGAAAGAGCAGAAAGTATGTGTCACATGAGACTCTTACTTCATTCTCAGCTGGCATTAATCCCGGTGGCAGGAAGCTCACAGCTCAGAGGCAGGATCTCAACAATGCTGGGAAGCTATCGACAAAAAATCTTCTTTGGTTTTAGCGGGTACATTTTGAAAACCTAGTGAAAGGAGAATGTAAGCCACCAGTGAGTCACTGGGAGATGTACAGTAGCAAATGAGGAAAACTGCTCTTGATTCACTTCTGCATAGTGTGTGTAGTGCTACGGGTGGGTCTGTCTCCCTGCACAGTCAGTTTTGTGAGGACTGTGAAAGCCCACCGCTGCTTCTCCTTCTGATTATGGGCTGTCTTATGCTTCTCTGTTTGGATGCTAATGCTGAGTTCATCTGAGCTTCAACAAACAAAGGCCAGACCTATATTCATATTCATATATAGGCTCTAAGGAATGGTTTGGTCACGGAGAAGGTTTGATTCCCATGGAGAAGAACGTGTAAGAGCCTTGTTAGACAAACAGTTAGAGCTACTAAGTCCTGGTGTTTCCTCAAGCAGGTTAAACTGAACACACTAACTGACACACGTATATGTTTTCTCAGCACAGCTGATTAACTTCTGGAGAACCTCTCCTCACAAGCCAAGGCATCAGCAAAGATTTTATGAAATTCTGCAATCCGTATCTGGCAGGAAGGGAGACCAAACGTTCAGAATGACCTCCTCAGCTTTATTCTGTTCAGCTCAGCAGGCTGAGGAAGCTGGCTGTTAGCAGGACTGGAGGCTGCAGCTGTCCCACCGCAGGGGAAGGCTACAACCCGGGGCGAGCTAACGGGAACCTCGGTTTAGTCTGTAAAGAAATGCCAGTACCTGCAGACGGCACCCCATTACGGGTGCCCTCGACACAACAAACGCTCATAAACCCGCTCGAGTACAGCGGAGCACTCGCGCGGACAGGGCTGGAGCCCGCAATGAGGCAGCTCTCCTTCAGGAACAGCAGCGCGCGCCGCCACAGCAGCCGGCTCCAGGCGGCCAACGGCCGCGCCGCGCGCCCTTCGCGCTCCCGCGGCAGCCCCGCCCCCGCGGCGGCAGTTGGGCGGGGGCCGCCGCCGCCCTCACTTCCTGGGCCGGGCGGGGGCAACATGGCGGCCAGCGGTGGCGCGGCCCTGCTTTTGGCGGCCGTGCTCGGCCCTCTCGCCGTCTCGGGCTTCTCCTCGTCGCCCGCGGGCAGCCCCGGCGAGCCGCGGAGCCGCGTGCAGGTGCTGAGCGGCTCCAACTGGAGCCTGGTGCTGCAGGGCCAGTGGATGGTGGAGTTGTGAGTAACGGCCGCTCGCCCGCCTGGGGGTGGGGTGCTGTGAGGGGGCTCACCCGTTCGGGGCGGCCGCAGGGTCCGGCCTCAGCTCGGTTCTGTGCTGCCCGGCCCGGCGCGGAGCGGAGCCGGGGAGGCCTCTGCCCGCCCGCGGGCTGCCGCGGCCCGGGACTGGGCCTGGGGGCTCCTCCTGCCCCGCTCCTGCCGTGCCCTCTGCGAAGTCCCCTTGGCGGCCTCGAGCTGCTGGGCGCGCTGTGCGCCGGGCTTTGGGGGCTGGGGAAGGGGGCTTTCCTCCGGGTTTGTGTTCCGCACAGGTGCGACGTTAGGCAGCGCACGTTGTGTTGCTCGCGCGGGGCGGGCCTTCGCTGAGATTCATGTGAGCTAGGAGGGTTGAGTTGGGCAGGCAGCGCTTAGCACGAGTGGTGTTACGTAAATAACGCGGCGTGCCGCGGCCATCGCGTTCTTGCTCTTTAAGGGTTGTGCATTATGCTTCATTAATTTTTCAGTGCTGCTGATGCTTTATCTTTTTGACAGCTGGAGAGGTTTGCTGGTTGTGGGCAGGGCTTTGAGTGCTGCTGGATAACTTCAGTGGTGTCGTGACTTCCCTGGTGGTGTAAAACTTGCTGAAGAGCACATGGTGTCTCGTGCTTGGAGGGGAGCTCGCCTGTTTCATTTAGAAGGGAGAAAAGGGAGGAACGGTTTAAGCTGTGTACGTGCATGGTAGCTATGTTCTGTGCAGATATGAAGCGGGGCTTTTTTGTGGTGTGTGTGCTATTTACTCCTCTGTGGAGGTGTTTTTACAGTTTTGAATAGACTAAGTAGTGAAAGAGGATATGGCTCACCAACATCTGAACTTGTGCTCCTTCATAAATGCTTCCCTAGCTGCTCAAAGCTTTATTCTTCTTCAATATTGAATTTGAATTATCTTGATCTTCTTAGAGGGAGGGGGACTATCACTTCTGCGTAGGCTGTGGTGCTCTGGATTTCACTGGAGTCCTCATGTTATCAATGAATGGATGCAGGTGATTCTGAAATGCCTGATCAGAGGCCCAGGGATACCCACTGTGGCAGCAGGGGACAGGGGTTTGCTGGTTTGGTTCTGAGTCATCTTATTTTTGTTTTTTGATCCAACATTTATTTATCTTGTTCTGACATTCAGGCCCTAGGTGGAAGTTCTATGAACTTGCCTATTAATACACAGCTCAGTGAATCCTAGGGAGGAAATAGACTACTTAAGGTGACTCAGCGCTTTCTTGTATTTCTGAGAAAGCGTTTGAGTTACTACTGGTGCGTGCAAGGAAGAAGACAGGAACTGATTGAAATCAGAAGTGGTTAGGACGATGAACAGTTCAAATTGCTTTGTGTGTCGTTACCTCACTTGAAACACTGCTCCATTGGCTAAATTACCTTTAGGGTGTTTTTTGTGGACTGTGGACTTGTGGACTTCATGTGGGAAAGAAACTTGGTCCTCCATGCTACTTCCTGTGGCACACTTCTAATGCTTCTACTTCTGAGAAGGAATCTTTGCAGCTCACGAGGATGCTAACTTAATGCTTCTGTTTCTGAATGAAGTTTGAGATTCTTGGTTGTGTCTAAACAATAGTTTGAGATTCAGAATTAGTTTCTTATGATTCTTACAGCTGTTCTCATATTGGCAGATTTGCCTTATGCTGATTTTTATGTAGCTTAGAACTGGTGGTGTAGACAGGAGTCCTGCACTTCGCTGATTCACTTCTGCACTGTGTGGGTCTGTTGGCAAGGCTGCAGCACTGTTCATCGAACTGCATTCAATCAGAGAACCTGCTGCTTCTTTCTAAGACTTTTTTTTTTAATGCGAAAGCTGTCAGGGAAGAAAAGTTGTTTTTTTTCCATTTATGAAAGTAGTGTAGGCTAACTACCATGTGCTGCCACTATTTTTATTGGTTCCTTGTTGTACAAATGGAGAGACTTAAGCCAGAAATAACTTGTATGGAGGATTCGTAGGAGTAATAGGATTCTTCATCCTTCATGCCTCCTAGCTAAAGTGTGTGTACTTGACTGACTACTTATAAATAATCAGTTATTTGTAGCTGATAAAATTGCAGGCCCTAGAAGCACTGCTGCATTTTGATGATAATGTTCTGGATAACTTTGTGTTGTGATGTCTTTTACAGTCACTTCTTGTTTTCTGTTACTATCACAGCATGCAGACCTTTGCTGAAGTGCTGAAAGTATGATGCTGGAATAAACCGTTGTAAAAAGCTTCATTATTTCTAGTTTGCAGCTGCATGATAATGTTTGGCTAGTGTGAGGAGCTTTTTGTCTTTATTATTGTGCCTGTTGGGGAGATAAGGTACTAATTCCTGGTCTCTGTCCTTGAGTGTGTTACAGGCTGGTGCATTTTGCATTTGTGAGCATAGCTCATTCCACACTTGATTGATCTCAATTTAACTTCCTCTTCTTGAAGCAGATAAATGTTAGTGGTCTTTATGCCTCTGATTATAAAGTAATTCCTGTTGATCCTACAGCACTTCATGCATTTGCCACCAAGAAAATCTCTACTTCAGTTCCCACACAGGATGTAAAATGTTTTGGTTCCCTTCAGTGAAACTTTCAGTGAAGTAATGGTGCTACGTGATCCTGAAAATGGGTATTACAATTGTCAGTTTTAATTCTTGCCAAAGCTTTTTGGGGGGAGGAGGAGGGGAAGGAGGGATAGTAATAACCATAGTAGTAATAAGTAAGCAATAATCATGTTTTCAAATCTAGCTTATATAGCGTACAGCATAGGCCTGTTATTTCCTTATCATTTATAGTTAAAGTATTTTTATACTGCTTAGTAGGTGAAGTTATCTCAAGGGGTCAGTGCCCAGTCGTCCTATAGAAGTGACACTTCCAAAGGAGTATGCTGTAAGTCTAGCTGAATGTGTTGCCATTTACATGGTTTAATGCTTTTAAACTGCTCAAAAGACTCTGTAAAAACTTTAGAATTCAATAAATTGTTCAACAATTAACTTAAATTCAGAACTCAGTAAGATTGGGGAACTTTGTCACTTGTAAGAGTATCGTCTCCTCTTTTGTCTTTCTAGACTTCTCTTTGTCCTAATAGTAAAAATAAACAAACAAAAACCAAAACTAGATACAATACTTCTGTCTGGTTGTGCAGCTTCTGCAGACTTCCTGACTGAGTTGAGAGGAAGCAACCAAATGATCTGTGAATTCTTGTTTAATAACTGAGCGTTGTCTTTGCCACACAGTGGCTGAGCAGAAACTGATAAAATGTGAATCCGAAATATCCTTGGTAGCAGATGCTTTACTATTGTCAGAAGGGCAAAACTGTGCTGAATGATGGAACTTAGTTTGCTGAAATACTTGAAGATTTTTCATCCATTTTTCGAGGGTTGTTTGGCATTCTGTTTTCAAGATGAATGCTCTGTCCTTTTGAAAAATAAAATAAAACCTTGCGAATGGAACATTTGTTTTTTCTTTTGGATTGCAGATGGCACTCTTACAGTTCTCTTGTTCTTGAAAGTAGGAAGCTGAATAATTCTAATACATGTGGCCTTGCTTCCCATCTTGTTCTTGAAAATTTAAAGTGCGCTTCATTAGTATGTAGAATGAGTGGTGAGTGGCACTTCAGATGTTCTTCTAAAGAACCTGATTTCATTGCCTTAGAGTGTATTAGTCTACAATGGAGAGCAGTTGCTTTTCCCCTTGATTTGGATATTACTGGAAAAGATGTGTGTGTCAGGTCGCTGTGGAAATGCAGCAAAATGGGAGCTAGTAAGGTTGAACTCTAGCTCTGAAAAGGAGTCCACGGAACAGCATCTTAGTGCATTGCCATTCTGGTCAGTTAGCAGCAATGCCTAGCTTCTGCTTAGCCCTTGGTTTGGGCTGCGTGAAATAGTCTAGATATCCTGCTTGTGGCTCTAAAATAATCTCTTAAGCTTTTATGAGCTCTTATTCAAGTTCAAACCTAGCACAGCAATACCTTTAAAAAATGCTGTTGGTCCACAGAAATTGGTTTATAGAAAGAATTTGAGATATTTGGTTCCTCTCAAATGTTGTAATGAATGCTGCAAGCATGTTTGCTAGGGTTTTAGCAATTTGCAGACTTACTTAACTGTTGTGAAGCATCTGTTTTGAAACTCTGTGAGGATAGGAAATTCACTGTACTGTGTACTGCTTAGTAGGCCTTGCTGCAGATAGGAAGAGGAACAATGCAATGATTTCAATTAGAGTTGTCAATGATAAAAACGGAATACCATATATTAACAGTTAGTTGGAAATAATGGAGGTGGGGAGAGTGCACAGAATATAAAAAAAAAAAAAAAACAAATCAAAGATGTGAAGGAGGAATAGCTAGCCTATGTGTTGTTTAATGAGTATAGAAACCTTTGGCATGTTTCTGTGTGTATTTGAAGGGGAAAAATGTGTGTCACTGAGAAGAACAGTAGTTGTGCTGCTTGCCCTCTTTCCCAGCTCACACTGGTTCTTGGCAGTCTGCAATTCCTACAGTTCTTTCCTCTTGCTCACATGCAGCTAGTGTGTTCCCTTTAGTCTCTTGAGGAAATAATGACTGCTTGACTTATGGCATAATTGAGTACCTTCCTTCCTCACTTGTTCTTTTTTTTTTCTGTTAGACCCTACTGAGGAAGGATGTCTTAGGCTGCAGCATTTCGTGACAGGATTTTCATGTGTGAAGGCTGTAGAAACCTGGTTCAAAGGAGGGAGCCATCTCAAGTATAGCAGTTTTACTTCGTATTACCCCTTAGCTTAAAAACAGATCTAAATGATCTATGCTTAAGCTTAAGTTATTTTAAATGAAATCTTGGGGCTCATTTAGCCACGGGACTAATTAGCCATCTGCTTTACTCACTAATTGAAGGTTTGGGAGAGGCTTGGACCTCTGCTTTCAGCTGTGTTTTATTGTTTTACGGTATTTTCTTACTGGACATCTGAATTGTCAGTTGTATGATTTTTATGACTGTTGTGGATGGCTGAGCACTTATTAAATTCTTGTTTCAATGTTACAAAATCTCTGCTTTTTCTAAATATTAGCTTATTTTAGTGTTCAGAATTTTTGTTATGCAAGTGAGAAAACTGGCAAAATAAAAGAATATCTTTTCTATTGTTGCTGGTACTGCTATGAGGAACTGTCTCATCAATTGAACCTAATTTTTATAGTACTTCTGATCTGAAATCAGGCAAGTAGCTTGGTTTGTGTTAAACGATGCCTTGCATAGAAGAAACAGATAACTTGTGTGTTTGGAGAGAAGCTAGAAGATTTCTATCTTTGCTGTTTTTCCTCTTGAAATTCTCCGCCCATTGCTGTAAGCAGTTTTACCTTTGTTCATAGATTCCTGCAACTTCCTGAAACTGCCAACACAGCTAAGTGAAGAACAGTATTCAGTGTTGCATCTGTTCAGTGTCCATAGTAACTAATAATGGCATTAAACATGCAGTATTGAGTAACTTACATTTGTCTGAAGATGAGTGAATTGGTCAATTCCCTAGCCAAGCAGTTAAGAGTGGAAATTATCAGTGCTGTGGCCTGCTACACTGTGTATCAGAAAATCTAGGTCAGATCCTTCTGTGTTTTCTAATTGCCT